GCGCACGACACCGGCCGCTAACACCCCCGTTTTTTGCCGGGACCGAAAGGGAGACGCACTACAGCAGTAGAGCACTTTGTCTCGTGTCATGCGGAGACTTGATGGCTTGATTGGCGTGTGTGGTAATGAGGGTGTGTGGCGTGTAGCCAGCGCACATGCACCACGTTAGCCGCTTGCGGAATGCATGAACGGCCTACACTGTCAAGAAATCGGAGCGTGGTTGGCGGATCCATGGTGGATGTCGGAGACGCGACTTTCTGCCCTCGCTAGCGCTGCACGCAGTCCGCCCCTAGGTGCAAGTCTCGCTTCGAGGCGAGGTCTACGGGCGGAGAAACCGCGAAATAAGGGCTCTAGGCTCACGAGAGGACCCCTCCCTGCGGTGCGTTATGTGCCTCCCCTCCGTGGTCATCCCCCGGCGTTTGCCATGGGGGTTGGGTCTTCGTCGCTTGGCGACGACGTTGTAAAACAAGCCACCCCCTCGGTGTTTGACTATGAGTACNCCCCCCCCCCCGAAGAAAATCTTGCAACCCCCCCCTCCCTCTTTCTCTCTCGTCCTGACACCCCGGCAGCGTTGGTTAACTGTCAACCGCTCTATAAGGGTACCATAGGTCGCATGGGATACCATACCCCCCACACCGACCGATGCTTATAGACCAAGTTCTCTGCAGCGCCTACAGCGGCGGTGTTGAAAACGGCGGCGTTGTAACTGTCGCCTAAGTCCTCTTCGTCGTAGAGCAATCGAGCTTTTGAAAAGGGCGGTTAGAGATTAAATGAAAAATTACCGGTGCCAAAGACTCCCAGGACCGTTGTCGCAACAATCTAAACCAGGGCGGAAAAAGGAGAGCAACTGAAAACAAAGCACGCCATGTGGAAGCCAAGAACCGTTGCCGCGACAATTGAAACCGAGGGCGGTAAGAGAGCGATTGAAAAGCCACTCTTTGTCCTCGGGGTGTGGTATCTTGCGTTACCTACTACAGTAGCTTACCGTAGATGACACAAGATAACACACCCCCTGGACCGATTTTCAAATCTCGACTTCTCAACAACAGAAAGAGTCACGGCGCCGAAAACGGCGGCGTTGGAACCGTCTCGTCGAGAGCTTTCCAAACATGTATCGTCTCGTTCATGCATCCTCTTCGTCGTGGAGTAATCGAGCGTTGAAAATTGGTCCAGGGGGTGTGTTATCTTGTGTCATGTACGGTAGGTGCCGTGCCATGCGACATAAAGAGAAAAACAACGGGGACGAAAGCGGTAGGACTCTCCCCCAACAGAGATGTTGTTTGATACCATGCTGCGGTCGCTCCTCGTCCCCACCGATCAGATTGTTTTTGTTTGTTGCCGCCGTGTTATGGTCTCTCCTCGCTCTCACCCAACAGAGCGAGTTGTTTGTCGCGTTTACCCAACCGAACGTGTTGTTTGTTGGCGCGTTGTGGTCGCTCCTCCCTGTCACCCAACAGAGCAAGTTGTTTATTGAACGCGTCATGGCGAAGCATTTATCGCTCCATCCCGGCGCTGTAGGCGTGCGAGGTCGACCGCCTTTCTATTACGGCATCGTGCGTTTGTCTGAGCTAAATCTTCTCGAGGACCGCGTGGTCTGTGGTCCAACAGCTAAAGGCATGCACAACATGAACCTGACGACTACGCCTCCACCACCAGTGGGTTGAAAGGGCGGGAAGTGATGTCGATAGGATAAGCTAGGTTAGGGAAAGACATTTTTGCGCCACCTTTTGGCAAAGCAGCGAGGGAGGAACGATTGGCCATCGGTGATCGGTCCTGTGGGAACATAATGCTCCGCCCTCTCGAGGAGGACGCGTTGTCAATGGTCTAGCCACCAAGGCGTGCAAAACATAAGAGCGCCCCCCCCCCCCCCCNAAGCATTTATCGCTCCATCCCGGCGCTGTAGGCGTGCGAGGTCGACGGCCTTTCTATTACGGCATCGTGCGTTTGCCTGAGCTAAATCTTCTCGAGGACCGCGTGGTCTGTGGTCCAACAGCTAAAGGCATGCACAACATGAACCTGACGACTACGCCTCCACCACCAGTGGGTTGAAAGGGCGGGAAGTGATGTCGATAGGATAAGCTAGGTTAGGGAAAGGCATTTTTGAGCCACCTTTTGGCAAAGCAGCGAGGGAGGAACGATTGGCCATCGGTGATCGGTCCTGTGGGAACATTATGCTCCGCCCTCTCGAGGAGGACGCGTTGTCAATGGTCTAGCCACCAAGGCGTGCAAAACATAAGAGCGCCCCCCCCCCCCC